ACAGATAGAAGCCTACCTCAATTTAAACTATGTGGTGTATAAAGATGAGGACTCGCTCGTTAAAATTTTACAATAAATAACTATTAAACAAATAACTGTGTGGTGTATAAAGATAAGATCACCAATTCTCGGCCAGATAAAGTGGTGGTGACTCAGCATGATTGGAGGGTCTCTCACCAAGGTTCGAGTAACGATATTGGTTCCCCCGATGGACAAATAAACGATAAAATAGTTTAGTCTCCCGGATGTGGTTTCAGAAACTCCACCTGGTCTCCGACGTGGGTCTTTCTCTCTATCTGAGGATAAGGGACGTTAGATCCACGTACGGGCGTCGGTTGGGATTATTTATCTATCACAGAGAATCATGCCTTTGTGTTAGCGAATTGAGGTAATCTTAATTACCTCTTCTTTTGTTGTTGATTTCGACGCGTTAATATCCTTCTCCTATTTCTTCAAAAGAAAAAAAAAAAAGGAATAATTGGGGAACTAGTACGTTTATGAAAGATAATAGGGAAACTAGTACGGGTACTGTTTATAATTGGAACAAACACCCAGTTTGCACTGTAGCGACTTTTGCCCTGACCCATATACCATCCAAATATCATCTATTTACCATCTAATGCCATTACAGTCTTTGTTGAAAAGATTAAAAAAAAAAATTGTTCTCTCTCTTCTTCTCTTCGTCTTCTCCGACGACTCCACAGCCATGAATTGTTCTCTATCTTCTTCTCTTCGTCTTCTTCGTCTCTCTCTTTGTTCCCTTGTTTCTACTCTCCGATGGCTCCATCTTGTCGACAGATCAGCGAAAGATCTCCGTTGGTGAACCAGCAGCGTCAAATCACCTCCTTCTTTGGGAAATATGCTTCCTTTTCTTCTCCATCTCCATCACCTTCACCACCTCTGTCCAATAAGAAAACCCCCAAATCTATCAACCCTAACCCTAATTCTCCGTCTCCGTCTCCGTCACCATCTCGTGCAGCGGAGGCTCTAGTCGGTAAGTTTTGTGTGTGGCTTAGATAGGTTACAGAACAAGTTTGGATTTTTACCTGGTTTTGCTTTGGTTTCTCTGTTTAGGGTTTAAGGGTTCTGCTTAGTCTCTCTGGTAATTACTGATTAAGTGGTTAGATAGGAAATTGGATATGAAAGTTGTGAACTTTATGCTATTCGATGGCAAATGGGTGACTGAGAAGAAGAGCAAGGAAAGAGGATGTTAGACTTTTTGTTAATTGCATTTTACAATTTTGCAGGAACTTAGAGTTGGCTGTGAAGTCAAGTGAAGGTGCAAGGAGGTCTACAAGACTGAGACTTCAGCCTTTGCGAAAGCCAAAGTCAAGCCCGAAGAAGAAGAAACCCGTTAAACTCCATTCAAAGATGCCCAAGAAACCTCCCACTGCTTTCTTCTTTTTCTTGTAGGTACTCTCCCTCATATGAATCCAAATTGTTATCTATATATTTAAGCTTAGCTGGACTTCCTTGCAGTCCTCTCTTAAGGAAAATTTTGTGTGGATTTTGCCATTGGACTTTAGGATGAAATTATTTATGTTGTTATGTGTTCTGGTTACTTTAGAAAACATACAACGAAACACCTGTTGTATATGCATTTTCCTCTTGCCTCATATTGCCTTATCTTTTTGGTTCCAAAGGGAGGATTTCCGGAAACAATATCAAGAGGAGAATCCGGAGGTCAAGTCCATGCGTGAGGTTGTAGAGAATTAGTTTGTGGTATATGAATTTAAAACATGATGGCTAATTGGAGGCAACGGTATACCAGTTTCGCCGGAAGTGGCTAACGGTTTGAAGAATGATGAAGCTTACGGTGTCGTTTTGATGAGAGTGGTGATTTTAGGGAGGCTCCGATGGAAAGCTGGTGCGATTAAGACTGGACGGTATGGATTTTATGCAAGGTGTGATGTGTGGTTGAGATTTAATCCATCTCTTAATGGACAAGTTCCTCCTCTTCTCGCTCCGTCAACTTGTAAAGTTGATGTCTAGTCTTTTTTTTTTTTTCTTCTTTTCTTTTTATTGATGTCTAGTCTTAATTTTGTTTTGTAATGTTTTTTTTTTTTTTAAATCTTTGTGTTTTTAAAAAGTTTGAAAATGGAAATTAGAATTGTAATTTTTTTTTTTGTAATCATGTTAGTGTTGAGTTTCGTCGAGTCTAGTGTAATAAATGATTAAGAGCATAAGCCAAAAATTATAAGTACAAGTATTTCTAATTTACATTCTACTTATGATATTTATTTTATTTTTCAGTTGTTGGATCTGTGGATGTTAATTAATGAAATTTGACTATACAAATATGTTGTCTGTAATAGCGAATATTGGCATATGGTGAGTTCATCGACACAACAGCTCATTGTGTTGGTCTGACATATGGCATCTTCATGCAAATCTCATTTGGTTTGATCATATCGTTTTTTTTCCACAATTACGGAAATATTTTCTTATGATAATAATGATAGACTTAGAATTCGTATTATGCTTTGCAGTTTTCCGATTTAGTGACTTTTCTTGTAAATTTGTTTCGGTTGTTCCGATTCTTCTGAAAATTTGTTACATTTTTAGTAGTTGTGCTTCACAAGTCAATGTTTTTGAATGAAGCGTTCTTTTTAAATAAGTGGATAGTATTTTATTTCTTCGAATCTTTTTTAAGTTATCGTGAGTCATAGTCATCACGTTAAATGGAAAGTGTAAAATCGAAATCATATTTTTAGTCCGATTTTAGAGATGAACGAAGGAGTATGGTTTTGATATCACAACATTCTCTTTTTAAAATGTTCATATAGAATTCTCTGTGTTTTCTAATTTATTTAGCCTTTTAACTTTTCTCTACAATTGATCGGATCTTCTAACAAAAATGGTGTTGCCACCAATTTTGTACAGTACAAACTGATTAATTCTCCAATTTTGAATAGTAAATTAGAGCAGTCGTTCAAGATTTATGACCGATTTAGTGCACACATATCAATATGACGTAGACGCATCCGAAATTAGAAACCTCTAGCTTTATTTCAGATTCAGTTCTCTAATTTTTCTTGGCTATGTTTCTGTTTACGACAAAGCTCTTTTTTTTTTTAGAAGAATGATTTTTAGAGAAAGAGAAGAGAAGAAGAAAGGAAAACAAATGAGGAGAAAGAGGAAGATGTACAGTTTCGAAGGAGAAGAGAGAAGGAAAAGAAATATGCTGCAAAGAGAAGGTAGGGAAAAACTATTCGGACATGGGTTCTCCAGCAAATTAGTTCATATGTGAATGGCTTCTGTACAGATTACATATCGTACATCCAGGTTGATGTACAAATAGTATTCTGTTCACATCTATGGTGGCTGTACAGTCATTCTGCTGTACAGTTGTCCTCTGCTGTACAGTGGTCTACATCTGTACAGGCATTCTGCTGTACAGTTGTCTTCTGCTGTACAGTGGTCTACATCTGTACAGTCATTCTGCTGTACAGTTGTCTTCTGCTGTACAGTCATTCTGCTGTACAGTTGTCTTCTGCTGTACAGTGGTCTACATCTGTACAGTCATTCTGCTGTACAGTTGTTTTATGTACAGTGGTCTACATCTGTACAATGATTTATATCTCTTTATATATTATTTGTACAGTGTTTGTTAATATAAATTTTAAAATTTATAAAACAAAATGCATATCAAATGATAGAGAAAAAAACATAGATTTTTATGTATATAATCAATTTTAGAAAAATAAAATTTACAAACGAGCATTTTAGTTATTAAACTATGAGGGAATGAAATATAATAAAGAAAAAAAAAGAAATTTAAAAAAATAAAATTCTGACCACACTCTCGCACACACTTTTTTTTCAAGAAAAAAAAAATTAAAAAAAAAATTACACTCTCACTGACACTTTCTCTCTCACACTCTATCTCTCACACTCACACTCTCAAACGTCTCACACCATCTCACACACTCTTTCTCTCTCACACTCTTTCTCTCACGAACAATTGTAAATAGTACCCGTACTAGTTTGCCTATTATGTTTCTAAAACGTACTATATTCCCAAGAAACCCAAAAAAAAATATCCTTCTCCCAGGATTAGGGTTTTGCCTCGTGAAGATGCCAGAAGCTAAAATTGCAGATTCAATTGGGGAAGATAGGATTAGTGAGTTGCCTGAAGATTTACTTACAATGATTCTGGTGGCTTGTCCCGACAAAAGACGTCGTGGCCACCATGTTTCTGTTGAGACGATGGCTCTCTATTTGGCTGATGGTACTTACGCTTGAGTGAAAGAGTAATGATGATGATGATGATGAAAGCAAAAAGATGAGGATTCTCTAGAATCTCAAGCATCTGTTTGTGAAACAGAAAAAGAATGACAATGTGAAAAAGTTCACTGTGAAAGTTCCTTCAATATTAGAGTTAGAGTATACTAATTTCTCGTTTGGCAATAATGTAGAAGACACCCGTAGGTGCTTGGTCATTGATATTCCGGCATTAAAGAACTTTATTAGCATCTATATTCGGGAGAATTTTTCTCGATCGAGAATATGCCTTTTCTCAAGTTTGCATATATCAGTTTTGACTCTTACAATAATGAAAAGTTACTACTAAGATTTGTTTCTTCGGTCTCGTCTCTTGAGTTTTTTTTTTTTTTTTAATATAATGAACTGGTAAAGCTATCTTTCACTCTCTTGTTCCTTGTGAGTACATTGCTGCATCTACTAACGTTGTGTTTGTTTCCCCGCAGCTTCTGTGTTGTAGTAGCATCCACTTCTCTCCACTTGTAAAGTTAAGCATTCGTCCACGAGAATCAGATTGGTTGGAACCACTCATAAGTTTGCTTCCTGAAGTCATACCAAATATTACGACAAAAACAAATTTTGATTTTCATATCCTTTTACTCATTTACGTTTGTTAAAGCCTAAATACACATATCAACCAAAAAATAAAGCCAAAAATAATTATGGAAAACATTAGTTTCTGAAAACTTTTAAAATTCTAAAATTGTTAGGAGTTCGTAGGACGATTAAGCACTAGTAAAGCTTTATTGAGAAGCACAAAGACTTTTTCTATCTTTAATGTTCTGTAATTGTGAGATTTGTTTAACCCACTGATCCTTCAAGCTTAATGCTCAAAAGCTGATTAACTTCAGCTCCAAATTCATTAGGCAACTTGGTGAAAACATCTCTGCAGAATCCAGAGATCATTGCTGCTAATGCTCTCTCGTGATCGATTCCTCTCTGCTGGAAATAGAAAATCTGATCATCTCCAATCTTTGAAGTACTTGCTTCGTGCTCTACTCTCGCCGATGGATTCTTTACCTATTATTGTTTATAAGGTCTTAATTAGTGGTTCTTTATCATTAGCTTATAATAAAGATTAAGTGATCATAGGCAATTTACCTGTATGTAAGGATAAGTATTAGCGGCTGCATTGTCACCGATAAGCATTGAGTCGCAAGTGGAAGTATTTTTAGCATTCTCGGCTCTCGATTGAACCTGAACAAGACCGCGGTAACAGTTTCTTGACCGCCCAGCTGAAATTCCTTTTGAAATGATTCTACTTTTCGTATTCTTTCCTTTGTGAATCATCTTGGTCCCTGTATCAGCTTGCTGATAGTTATTAGTCAATGCAACAGAGTAAAACTCGCCAACGGAATCATCGCCTTCTAAAACCACGCTCGGGTACTTCCAAGTTATCGCCGACCCCTTCTCAACCTGAGTCCATGATATCTTGGAACGATCCCCAGCGCAAAGACCGCGCTTTGTGACAAAGTTGTAAATCCCGCCTTTACCTTGTTCATCCCCTGCATACCAATTCTGCACCGTCGAGTACTTAATCTCTGCTCCTTCCGCGCAATAGAGCTCAACCACCGCAGCGTGAAGCTGATTCTTGTCATGAGATATAGCAGTGCATCCTTCTGAATACTCAACATAACTCCCTTCCTCAGCAACAATCAAAGTCCTTTCAAATTGACCAGTACTCTTAATCGCGTTCATCCGGAAATAACTCGAAACAGGCATCAGACATCTCGTGTTTTTTGGTACATAACAGAAGGATCCATCGCTGAAAACCGCGGAATTCAAAGCCGCGTAGTAATTATCATCACTAGGCACAACTCTTCCTAAAAACTTCTTGATCAAAGCCGGATACTTCCTAATAGCTTCGGATATCGAACAAAAGATCACACCTGACTTCTCTAGAGGCTCCTTATTAGTGATAGCTATAGATTCACTATTGAAAACCGCATCAACCGCAACCTTAGGAGAACATTTCTTCTTTGTTATAGGAACATCTAATCTATCAAATATCTCAAGAACCTTAGGATTATCCAAAGTTGGTTTCTTTTTAGGAACAGAGTAATAACACATATCTTGGAGATTAAGCAAAGGATACCTATTATCTGACCATTTAGGTTCTTCTAATTTCAGAAACTTAGCATAAGCTTTGAGCCTAAACTCAAGAATCCAAGTTGGTTCCTTTTTCAATTTCGATATCAAGCGAATCGTTTCTTCAGATAAACCGTTAGGGATTGTGAGCGAATCGATATGTTCAGTGAATCCGTATTTCTTAACGTAATCTTGATTCTTGAAATACTGTTGAAGTTTATCAGAGGATTCAGTTCCATCTTTGGCTCTGACTTTGAAAACCCTAGTCCGATTTAGGGTTTTGGGGGATGGGAATTTCAAGGATTCGAGTTTTGGATGAAACTCTTTTGGTGCTTTGGAAGAATCGGAAGTGGTTTGTGGAGAAAATCTAGAGATACCGTTTGCGAAAAGAGATGCCATTGTTGAAGCTTTTTTTTTTTTTTTTTTTTAATAAATGTTTATTGAATTTGTTTTTCCTTTTACAAGTGGAAAAAATGATAGCTGCGTGTCTACCAAGCAAAGGAATTTTTTTTACTTGGATTTTAACTTTTATCTCAAGGGAACTACTGAATAAAAAAAAGTAAAGTTGCCATTTGCTTAGTGGCTTTATGGAAATGCCATTTTTTTTGGCTCACGTAAAATCATTTTTTTTATCCTTGCAACCAAACGAATATTATATTTATTGAACTAGTGATTTATAAAAGTACTTTACAATTCACAAAGCATTTAAATAAATATAATATTTGTTTTTGGTGAAGTTTCACGGCGGAAGAAACAGAAGAGAGAATATAAATGTTTCGGAGATTAAAAAAAAAAAAAACTGTTTGTTAACAAATAACAATGGAAAAATGGGTAAAAAAACCTTCACCTTTTCTAAAAACATGTAAAAAACACTCAACTTTTTTTGTGGGATTTTAAACCCTCACCTTTTCATAAGTGGTAAAATAAAACCTAATATTAGTAAACTCAACTTAATTTTCTTTTATCGTTTTTTTTTTTTTTTTTTTTTTACATCTTTGGATCGACAAGACCCGATCCATAGTCAATCCCTACTATGCGGAGTAACGCGATTTAGTGGAGTCGAACTCCGGTGGAGAAGGCGGAGTCAAGTGGACTTAACCACTTGACTAAAGGCACATCCCCAATTTTCTTTTATCGTTATTTAAAACATTAAGAAACAAAAAAAAATTAATATATGATTTTCTTTTCCAAATTCGTTTGCAATTTGTTTTTCTAAATTTAAGGTTTTTGCGCTATAAAAATTTATTCACAATTTAGTTGGGATTACACAAATAACTTTTGTTACTATTAGACAAATAGCACATTTGATTTTTTTTTTTCAAATTTTCAGTTTTTGGATAAAATATAGTTAAATAACGATTAACTAAATGTAATTTATATTATAGTCATACCACATCACTAGAGTTGCCAAAAGAGCAATGGTTGCAGTCTCAACTCGCAACCGGTGTGGCCCGAGTCCAACAGCTATGCCGCCAGCTTAGAGCATCATCTCCACCTCTTTCTTCGTGAAGTTTGCTTCAATTTCATAGTTGACCGTTAGATTGTAACACACTTATTATATATTTGAGACAAGTCATCAACAAGAGCCATTAGCTACTGTCCATTTTGTGTCTACTCGAGCACTAATCCCAAAAGTGTAGCAAATCAGTAGACGTTTTAAGAGAGAGCCACATCAGAAATTTATTGAATAAGGATTTCTTACCGCCTTCTGATCCAACGATTAATAGTCCGCTGGATTCTTTTGCTGAGGAGTTAACTGCATTGAGAAGAGGTGTAGCTTCAGCTGTGGCAACCAAACATAACTTTGACTTGAAAATCTAGGAAACCCCAAAAAGTGTCAAGGCAAGTTTAGAAGAATAAGAATTCAGGAATTCTATAAACCAAGGATCTTAGAGTGTACTTAGAGAGATGTGTAAACATACATGATCCAAGAGGGTAACAAATTTGATAGGAGGGTTCAGTACTATTTGATGAAGTCTTTGGCCTGTGACAGTAAAAGATAAGGTAAATAGTTTGTGATCATAAATGCCAAGGAAAAAGAAGAGCAAGATTAACCAACCAATTGTTTTCTTTTACTAATGCTACTTACATTGCGTAGCCACGGCAAAACTAACACGTTCTAATCTGTCAACCCGGTTTTCAGAGATTATGGATGATCTTTCCGTTAAAAGTGGTGTGACACTGCTCGCTCCGAGCTCCTAAGATGAGCATATACACATATTTAGTGGCACGATATTCACAGGTGACTTAGACAGGACATACTAGAAGTAAATACTTACTGTACATTTCTCAATTAGCCAGTCTGCTCGACCACCCTTCAAAGTGCATGAAACACACATTCTTAAAGATATCATGACTCGAGCTGAGAATAAATAATCTGGCAATATTTTAATATTAAGAGCATGAATAACGGCAGGTCCAACACCATGTCTAAGGTCCAAAAGATCCATCCAAAATGAAATAAAAAACAATGGATCTGGTCCAATTTTGGAACTTTTGACAAGCTTTGGATCTGCCTACGTGTTTCATTGTGGTTGGTTGAAAAAATTCTATTACACCCAAAAAAAAATTTCCTCGTTTTCTTTTCACGATTTTCTTCTCTCTTCTCTCTCTCTCTCTTTCTCTCTTTCTCTCTTTGATCGGCGATTTCACCAAGGAGAGACTGAAATCCGTTGATTTGAGATCCGAAATGAGTCTCAAATGGTGTTGTCTGAGTGTTCGTTTTGCTGTTGTCTTCATCTCCACCAACTCCGGTTCAAATCGGAGAGTTTGGTTTCTACTGTCGGAGAGTGGTTCACCAAATTGTGAGATTTGTGTTCAAAGAAGCTCCAATATCTTTCAAATGGTATGAATCTATCTGATTTAATGTGTAGTTCGTGATAAAATCATCTATTTTGTGCAAATCGAAATTAGGGTTCTTTGAGTTTTAAAAATTAGGGTTTTTTAATTTTAGCGTGACCTTGCAGATTGTGTCCTTGTTAGCGTCTCTTTCTAAAAAAGTCCATGTTCTTTCGATCTAAATGGGATTAATTGGATTGTGTCCTTGTTAGTGTTTAGTCTCTCTTAGGTTTTTGATGTTCTGTAACAGGAAGCATTCTCTTTGGTTAAATTTTTTGTCTTATATATCTTCTTAGTTTCTTCTCTTTCAGCTGAAACTAGTTCTTGAAGTATCTTGTTTTATATTCCTTCAAATTTGTGACCGTTGGGAAAATCTTGAGGATTGTATTTGTAAAGATCACTGCTTTGGTCTTTCTTTGTTTCAAGCTCCTAAAAAGTGTATTCCTTTATTTGATATGGTGTAATGGTAACAGATGGTCAGGAAGGAAGATGTGGATTTCTATTGTGGCTTTCAAGGAAAGAGTTTCAGAGTTTATGCATGAAATATAATTTGCCTGCCACCCAATAGATCAAGTTCCGATATTGCTGAATCATTGGCTTCTTTTTCCGAGGTATTTTTATTTTGTTGTTGTATGATTGGATTAGTTCGTAATAATAATTCTTGTGGTTAATCAAGATTTGTGTTCTTGTGCTGTTTTGTGTTTACCATGTTTGAAGGTCTCTGGCATGTGATCAGCAGAGGATGAGTGATTCTTTTCTATATGTATTGCTGCATTCTTTCTTGCTCATCAAAGACTTTAGAATCACAGAAGCTGATGTTTATGTTCTGCTATTTGTTTTTCAGTGTCCATCAAATTTAATGACTACTTTGTGTTTATGATATCTTTGATCAATGCTCTCAAGTTTTAGATTAGGTTAGACTTTAATTTTAATACTGCTAAGTGTGTGTTCTCTAATGCTTCTTTCACATCTCTGTCATAAATGCTTGTGTGTGATCAATGCTGAAGTAGTATTGGTGTGGTTTAAGTTTTGACGCATGAATATGGTTCTTAGATGTGATCAATGCTTAGGGTTTCATTGATTGTTAACCACTTAACTTAACTTCCCTATCTTTATTTCTTTATCTGATTCAATATAAACAACCACCACAACCAAGATTTATTTATTCTTTCTATCTCTTTCTATCTCTTTCTATCTCTTTCTTCTGTCTTTCTTCTTTCTTTATTCTTTGTGTAATGGATTCTTCCAATCCATTTACTCAATCTTCTGGGTTCTTGGACCTGCTCAATAGTCAACCATGGACTGAGAATGAACCAAGCCAAGTCCCAATCCAAAATGATCAATGGTCAAAGAGCATTCAAGCTGAAGACACACCTGAGGGAAAAAAAGGAAAACGTAACAATTGGTCAGCAAAGGAAGATGTTGTGCTCATATCAGCCTGGTTGAACACAAGCAAAGACCCTGTGGTGGCCAATGAGGAAAGGAAGATGACCTTCTGGTCAAGAATAGCAACCTACTTTGCTGCTTCTTCTGCGCTTGTTGGGATGCCAAAGAGAGAGCCTGACCATTGCAAGCAAAGGTGGAGGAAGATCAATGATCAGGTCTGCAAGTTTGTTGGTTCCTTAGCAGCTGCAACAAGTCAGAAGTCAAGCGGACAAAATGAAAATGATGTAATGAAGCTTGCTCACCAAATCTACTCAAAGGATTATGGTGTCAAGTTCACACTTGACCATTGTTGGAGAGAGCTTCGCCATGATCAGAAGTGGTGTGTTGCTTCTTCACCTGTAGAGAGTGACAAGTCAAAAAGAAGAAAGGTAGGGGATAGAGCTGAAGCTGCTGGTCACTCATCAAGCTCACAGGCAGCTAGCCATGGAGATGAAGCCATGGCTCGTCCACCAGGTGTTAAGGCGGCAAAGGCCAAAGCTAAAAAGACTAACAAAGGCGTTGAAGAAGGACCAGATCTAGATGCTCTATTAAGGATTCAGAGCATTTGGGAGATTAGGAAACAAGACCATGAACTGAAGAAAGAGGACTATGAACTGAAGAAGAAACAGAGCAAGCTCAAAATGTTGGAGAATCTCCTTGGAAAAATAGAGCCACTTAGTGAAATTGAAATGGCTTTGAAGGACAAGCTTATCACTGACATGTTGTCATAAACTTGAATGTTGTCCTTTGTTTTCTGAATCAGTTTTTTTTCCAGAGGTTAGTGTTTATGTTATGTTTGTGATCAAGTAATGCTAATGTTATGGATGTGTTTTATTGCTTGTGTTTGTTGACTTGTTATGGATATCATTCAGGTATCAACTTGAGAATAAAAGATTGCCTCTTGTTTCTCTCATGTTCTTGCACCGAGAGGTTTCATTGTTCATTTTTGATATGATATCACTCATTTCTTCTACTTGTTTTTTTTCTCTTTTGCAGACTCTTATCGAATGGACTCAGAGAAAGAGTCATTTTAAGAGTTGATGGAGGCTTAAAGAGTGGTGTTGATGTTCTAATGGCTGCAGCTATGGGTGCTGATGAATACGGATTTGGTTACTTGGCAATGATTGCTACTGGTTGTGTTATGGCTCGTATTTGCCACACTAATAATTGTCCAGTGGGTGTAGCAAGTCAGGTAGACTCATCCTGTAAAATTTCCTTGCCTTCTTGTTCATATTCTCTTGAGTTTTGCTAACGTTTGTTTAAACTCTTGAGTTTTGCTAACGTTTGTTTAAACTCTTTAACGTTTGTTTAAACACCTGCCACTGGATACCCCGAGGAAGAATCACCTTCTGATCTTCTTGTGCGATAAAATCAACTCCAGTTTTGTCAATGCTTTGTATACAACCTTCTACCAGACCCCCTTTGCCATTAAAGAGTTCTACCCTTGCATAGAAAAAGGGTGCAAGTAATTACTTACATCTACTATACATTTTTGCAACAGTTTTTGGGGTCCCCAATCGGGTCGGATATTTTTCAATTTTGACCCGGAATTTTGTCCAATCGGATCATTCCTTATTAGATATTTTGACCCGAATTATTTTCAATCGGATCTTGACTAAGTATATTACACAATAAATGCAAATCCTATCGTATCCTTAATTTTAGTATCTAATTAAAAGCATATTCTCTCAACATATTCTATCAAATCAAGATTTCCTAAACAAAATTATCTACAATCTTCCATCATATTAAATAGAATATATATTGTTATTTCACGAAATTGTAATCCTCCCTTAAATTTCTTTCACATTCATTGTTAGTTTCCCGTATCTTTGATATTCTACTTCTCCCCCAAGATTTTTCTCAACTCGATTTGACCTTAACCCTAGACATCTAAGTTCTCTATAAATATTTCCAGTGTTCAAGAAAGCGCTAGGCGCTAAGCGGGCGGTGACCCAGTGCCTAGCGTCTAGAACGCTTAATCGGGGCCTAGGCGATTTTTTAGGCGGTTTAGACGTTTATAACATAAAACATTATAAATATGATATTACGGATACAATCTCGCTCTTTTTCATTTGAATGTGGTTATTCTTATCTTTCTTAATATCTCATGCGTAAATATTATATCAATACTTGGATACCTACTTTACATAATAAATTTGTAATCAGCAACACTGATAATATTTACGTCAAACAAAGCCAAATGAAGAAAACTATTAATATAACATTCATGAGAACATAAACCAAAACGAAAATCACTATATTTGAAACATGTTACTATATTTCGTCTGATTCTTATAATTGTCACATGCCCTTAAATTGCAGCATCATTACTTGAGTCTAATTACCAAACGAAGAGTCTAACTATATTCTCTGCAATTGCAGTGTATTTAAAAACTAAACAAGTTATTAGGAACCACTTAGCAAAAGATAAAAAAACAAGAGATCACCCAAATTCTATCATCATATCAATAGAAAAAGATCACAAAACACGACTAAACTATTCAAAATACAATCCCAGAAACATGAATTTCTATTTACTCAAATAGACTAAAATACCTTTGTTGGGGTGTCTTTAAGAATTGAATCGAAGTTGGCAGTGTTCAATTCAACAGCTTTGTCGTTTTTTATTGGCGATTACAAAGTCGATCGGCGAATCAACCGCGAGCTCGGGGAAGAAGACGCAGGCGATTACAAGGCTGGTGAATAAAAGCATATGTTCAAAAGACATCAAATCGAATCAAAGCGCCATGTTGAAGACGAACCCTTCTCTGAGATTTCAAAGCTTTTCTTCCTTTTTTTCTCAATAGAGAGAGAAGACGAAAGGATCTACTCAAAGCTTCCGGAAAGAGTAAACAAAAAGAAAGGAAAACAATCGGCTGCTAAATGAAAAAAAAAAGAAATAACAGAGAAAGAATAAAAAAGAAAAAAGGAAATCTTTGAATTCGAAGATGTTAGTGACGGAAGATGATGCTCGCTTCTTCGTTTAGAATCGTGCGAAAAAATTAAAGCTATCGGTGGTTGTCCAAGAAAAAGCGACAATCGACGACGACGGAGAGAGGATGAGTGGTTTGCTGCGAGCTCTGAGATTTGTCGTGGAGGAGTGCTCAGGCAGGAGTAAGGAGAACATCAATTCTTCAAAGCCCAACAATATCAATTCTTCAAAGCCCATAAAAACAGCCCATTATTAGTCAGATCAAATAAAATTAACAAAATTTATAATTTTTAGTTATAACAAAAAAATAGAAGGTGTACCCAAAATCAAACATAAGTTTATACCAAAAAACGTAAAAAATTAATACAATAATATCATAAGTTTATAATAATAAATAAATAAATATTTATTTATTTATTTATCCTGCGGTATACCGCGGGTCAAATACAATTATTTCTTATTTTAAGATACAATTATAAATTGTTTTTACGGATTGGTCCAAAAACACACACTAATTAAAAAATTATTTATTCTTTTAAATTGACTCGAACTATATGTCTTTTAAATAAAAGTAATACAAAAAATAACAGAATAATGTTTAATTTCAGATCACGGATTATATGGTGGTACGGATTTGGGTCGATATTAATACGGGACTATATACCACGGGTTAAATCCTAGAATTAACAAATCAAAATATAATTATACAATTTTAAACATTAAACAAAATGAATACAACTTAAAATTTTAATTTTGTAGATAAAACGCATGTGACCCGCGGTGTATAATAAAAAATATTATACACATCAGGTTATAAAAAATAAAATAAAAACAAATAATTAACCCGCGGTGTACCGCGGGTAATATCCTAGTTCATTACTCAAAAGCTTCGAATATTTGTTTCCCTTTGGAAGATTTTTTTGGTTCGGTTCTTATCGTTTCGGTTTACTCTAGATATTGGTTTGATCCGGTTCAATTTCCAAATAAATTCCGGTTAATTTCCACGCAATTCAAGGGATTTTGCCATTTCAAAAATAAAGAGAAACGGTCATAAAGCTAGCAAAAATTCAAAATTAGAAAATACGCAGCTCACGAGGATATCAACAAATCGTGGTTTTAACAACAACCCAATTACATCATTACACGTGTATTATACGTGCCGATTCGGATATAAATACAGCATCAAACACCATCCTAAAAACCTAGAAATCGAAAAAATCAGAGCGTCTTCATAAACGCCCTTCTTCGTCTTCGTCTTCGTCTTCGTCTTCGTCTTCTTCCCTGCAAATCTAGTTTCTTTCTTCCGCGAAACGAAAATGAGAGAGTGCATTTCGATCCACATTGGTCAGGCCGGTATCCAGGTCGGAAACGCTTGCTGGGAGCTTTACTGTCTTGAACATGGCATTCAGGTTCGTCTCTTCCTCTCTCTATCTAGATCTCTGTTTTTCTCCTATATTTTTCGTTGTTTATAGATCAGATCTGAGATATTTTAGCGCTGCATTGACCTTGTTCTTCGGATTGCTGATGAATTTTTATATGGTTGATGTTAGATCTGTGGTTGATTTCGGTTTATTGTTGAATTCCTTTGGTTGATTCGAGATCCGTTCGTTGAACAATAATCCGTGTAGATTTGTTTAGAAGATGAAAATCGATCTATTTCCCATATTCTTAAGCTTAATCGCTGCTTCTATATGCTTAGATCTTTGGATCCTATTCGTTTTGTATTGATGTGTTATTTTGGATCTGGAATGGTACAGCCTGATGGTCAGATGCCCAGTGACAAGACTGTTGGCGGAGGTGACGATGCTTTCAACACCTTCTTCAGTGAAACCGGTGCAGGGAAGCACGTCCCACGTGCTGTCTTTGTTGATCTTGAGCCAACTGTGATCGATGAGGTTAGGACTGGTACATACCGTCAGCTTTTCCACCCTGAGCAACTCATCAGCGGTAAAGAAGATGCAGCTAACAACTTCGCCCGTGGACATTACACCAGTAAGTTACTCCTTCCCTTGTTCCATCATCAACCACTTTTTACTGTTTATTGACTGAGTTGGTTTTGAAATTTTATCTCAGTTGGGAAAGAGATTGTTGATCTGTGCTTGGACCGTATCAGAAAGCTCGCTGATAACTGTACTGGTCTCCAAGGATTCCTTGTCTTCAACGCTGTTGGTGGAGGGACTGGATCTGGTCTTGGATCTCTCCTCCTTGAGAGACTTTCTGTTGACTATGGCAAAAAGTCCAAGTTGGGTTTCACTGTTTACCCATCTCCACAGGTCTCTACCTCCGTTGTTGAGCCATACAACAGTGTCCTCTCCACTCACTCTCTCTTGGAACACACTGATGTCTCCATCCTCCTCGATAACGAAGCTATCTATGACATCTGCAGACGCTCCCTAAGCATTGAGCGACCAACCTACACCAACCTCAACCGTCTTGTCTCTCAGGTATAGTAGCCAGCCTCAATGTTACATTAGCCTTGTTGTTGTTTCATTTTCTTGGCTCATCTAATGTTTCCTTCTCTCTTTATTTGGTTTCAGGTGATCTCATCCTTGACTGCTTCTCTTAGGTTTGATGGTGCCTTGAACGTGGATGTCACTGAGTTCCAAACCAACTTGGTCCCATACCCAAGAATCCACTTCATGCTTTCGTCCTACGCACCAGTCATCTCTGCAGAGAAGGCCTTCCATGAGCAACTCTCAGTTGCTGAGATCACAAACAGTGCTTTTGAGCCAGCTTCCATGATGGCTAAGTGTGACCCACGTCATGGCAAGTACATGGCTTGCTGTTTGATGTACCGTGGTGATGTTGTCCCCAAGGATGTGAACGCAGCTGTTGGCACAATCAAGACCAAGCGCACTATTCAGTTTGTTGACTGGTGTCCCACTGGGTTCAAGTGTGGTATCAACTATCAGCCACCAACTGTTGTTCCAGGAGGTGATCTTGCTAAAGTCCAGAGAGCTGTTTGTATGATCTCAAATTCCACCAGTGTTGCTGAGGTGTTCTCCCGTATTGATCACAAGTTTGATCTTATGTACGCCAAACGTGCTTTCGTTCACTGGTATGTGGGTGAGGGTATGGAAGAAGGAGAATTCTCAGAGGCTCGTGAGGATCTTGCAGCATTGGAGAAGGATTATGAAGAGGTTGGTGCTGAAGGTGGTGACGATGAGGATGATGAAGGAGAGGAGTACTAAGAAGGGTGTGGGTTTTATGTGGGCTTTCTATTATATTATCTCGTATTTGTGTGAGTGGGCTCGAAACTCTTACGAGTCTTTGTTGTTTTCCAAAAACCATATTTCTATCTATTGCTTGTGGCGGTAGCCATTTGTTTTATATTATCTAGTTTTATATTATGTGCTTCTTCTGGTCATATCTCTTATCTACAAGAACTGAATTTAACCTTAAGCTGAGTTTTGGCTTATATTGAATACAGTTTCTATTTTGGTTTGAATCGATTGTCCAAAATCTATCATTAATTATTTTGTCAGGTAAAAAAAATTATTTCGAGTGGTGAAAGATTGAAACTTTTCGAAACATTAATAGTAAATTGCAAGAATAGAGAAGCAACGATTCTTTTTACAACCGTAAGGAAAATAAATGGGAAAAATATCATTTAAATCATTAGTTTGCCATTTTCGTTGGTTTAAAGCATGAACTGTGGAGCTGGTGATTTAAATTCTTATTTTATGTAGATCTTATGATTTAAATCTTCAATTCTATGTTGACCTTCAGTTTAATCACGAATTCTCGTTGACTAAGCCAATTGAGGCACATTGTTAACTGGCTAAACGGAGCAATCGAACGAAGAGAAAGATGGAAACCATGTTGGTGTAGAAGAAAAATTATGTGATGGCTTCGAAGTGCCAGTTATGCGATGACATCGTCTTATTAATCCGTTTAGCCAGTTACCGATGTGCCTCAATTGGCTTTGTTAAAGAGAATTCATGATAAAAATAAAAATTAACATAAAATTAAGGATTTAAATCACCAGATTTAGAATTCATGATTTAAACCAACGAAAATGGTAAAGTGATGATTTAAATGACATTTTTCCCCAAAATAAATAAAAGGAAAGACTGTAAATAAAAATGGGAAAAATTCATTAAAATCCTCAACTTATTGAAAACGTTAATTTAAATCATCAACTTTCGACGAAACGAAATAAATATCAAATTTATGTTGACTTTCCAAATAAATACTAAACTTTCTTTGACCTGGCCATATTAAGCATGACCTTAAGTGAGTTAACAGACCATGTTAATGGGGTTAATTTTCTGTTAACAGATCCGTAAATTAAAAACGACAGTATTCCCTCTAACAATAAAAAGACACAACCGAGAAAAAATAACCGTCAATAATTCAACGGAAAATTATGACACAACCGAGAATATTGCGATAAAATGACACAAACGAAAAAAGTAACCGCCAATATTTTATCGGAAAGTTGCGATAAAAGACACAATCGAAAAATAACCGTCAACAAAAAAAATAACCTCAATATTTTAACCAAGAGTTGCGATAAAAAAACACAACCGAAAAAATAACCTCCAATATTTAAACGAAAAGTTGCGATAAAAAAACGCAACCGTTCAAATGTGCAAAAGACATTTATTGAGATTGCTATTATATATAAATTTAAAGATTTCCAAAAAAATTAAAGAAAAAAATATCAAATGAAATGTCATAATGAATTGAGACAAAAAGTTTCAAAACAACTTTTTAACAATAAATAAAGATATATTTTACAAAACAATATGATAAAGAGACGTAAACCCTCAAAAACATTTTTTAAGATTTTTATTATTATTAAAAAATATTATGGAGAAAAGACGCGATCATAAATAACAAATAGTAAACAAAAAGTTATAATGAGTAGATGCAATTTTTTAAATTCTAAACTATTATAAATATAACTATATAAATATATTCATCAAAATATTACGATAAAAAGACACAATATTTTAAATTATATTATATTAAAAAGAGACAATCTTTCGGAAAATTTAACAAATAACAAAATAGATAATTATTTAGGGAAAAATAATAATGATATAGATAATAAAGTATATACATGAATGCTAAATAGCAAAAATATAATTTTCTATGAAAAAATAAAACATGAAAATACTAAATTTAAACCACTTTAAATATATATAGAGTTACAAAGACATGAAAGTTTAAATAGAAAAAATTGTTTGTAAAAGACATAATTATTGGAACCAATTGTTTGTGATGAAAAACACGAATAAAACATGGTGACAAGATATACTCTAAATGAATAGATATAACTTTAGCTAATGTTTTGTTCAAAAAAAAAAACTTTGGTTAATGAACTAAAAAATGTATAACAAAAGACAATGTTGCAACGGTTCATCAAATATACATAGAGCTGTAATAATTCATCAAATAAACTAAAGTTGCAATGGTTCATCAAATATATCAAATATTGTAACGATTCATCAAATAAATCAAATGTTACAACAGTTCATCAGATAAGCCAAAATGTTCATTTGTTCGTCAAATAAACCAAATGTTACTTTGTTCTATCAAATGGTGCAACATATTCATTTAAATAGTAATTAAAATTAAAAATTTGATGAAGAACTATAACCGAAAGATGCGACTGTAGATATCATATATACATATATAATAAAAATTGCAATCGTTTGTCAAATATACCAAATGTTGCAACGATTCGTCAAATAAACTAAGATTATAACGGTTCATAAAACAAAACCAAAAGTTGTAATAATTTTTCAAATAAACCAAATGTTGCAACGATTCAATTAAACGGTTACAATTTTATTTAAATAAATTTAGTAACTAAAACTAAATAATAGTTTATAAAAAGTTACACCGAAAAACGTGACTGTAGATAATTAAATGTTATAACGGTTTATAAAATAAACCAAGAATTTCATTTGTTCGTAACATAAACTAAATATTGCAATGACTTAACTAAACGGTTGCGACCGTTTACAAAAAGTTACTATAAAAAAACGCAACTGTAGATGATATTTTAAAAAACGCTACAACTTTCTAAAAAATTCAACCGTAAAATATATATTTTGTAGTTTTTTAAAAATTAAATATTTTAGCTATTTATAGAATAAATCAAAAATTATAATTGTTCGTTAAATAAAGTAAATGTTGCAATGGTTCAACAAAACAATCGCAATTGTTTGTGAAGTGCTACGATAAAAACACGCAACTGTAAAAAATATTTATTCAGATTGCATCTTTTTGAAAAAATAACCGTAAAATATATATTTTAGTTAAGAAACCAAAATTTAAATCTATATAATATGAATAGATGCAACTATGAAGACACAACCGTAAACTAAAAAGATACGACTGTAATTAAACATAAAACTGTAAAAAAACCCGTAAATATGGTAACGAAGAGATGCGATAAAAATACACAACCGTAAAAAATAACCGTAAATATTTTAACGAAAAGATGCGATAAAAAGATACAACAAAAAATATAACCGTAAATATTTAAACGAAAGATTACGATAAAAAGATGCAACCGTTGAGAGGTACAAATGACATTTATTGAGATTGCTATTATATATAGATTATATAAGAGAACTACTAAAAAAAAAAAAAATGTTATACATAAAAAAAAGTGATATTAAGAGGTCTGGGATTCGAGGGTTGATTAATGTTGATTAATGTTTCTACACTAAGAGGTCTCATACCAAGGGTTGATTAATGTTTCTACACTAAGAGGTCTGGGATTCGAGTCCCAGATATTGCGATTTATTATCAAATTTACAGATTAATTGAGGTAAGTGTGCAGGAGATCTCCAGCGATGTACAATTATAGCCATGCGCCAGGATTCCACGTAGAGAATGATGTATCGCCAGGTCGTGGATCATTGAAGGTATTCATCAAGATCATGAAGAAAGAAGTGTAGTCTGTCGTGGATCTAATAAGGATCGGCAGAAATTGTCAGTTGTAGAATCGTCTATGTAATAGTTTTCATAATTTACAATTAATAATAAATCTAGGCGAGAAAAAAAAAATAACAATATATATATGACGTGGCATCCACATCATTGCATATGTGGCGTCCACGTCATCAAAACATAATAATTTTTTGCCACTGTGGCAATAAATGTATGATTTTGCACGAATTCTTAAGTTTAGGTAGTAATTTTCAATTAATGTTTTGTTAAAGTATGAATTAGCACGGTATTATACTTGATATATGAATCGAACATACTTCTGCAGTTCAGGTATGATAAAGCCTTTTTTCCTATTCCTTGAGCTTATCAAGAAATTTTCACTTCCAACATACTTGTCAATAGCTATGTCAATACTCAATATCATTACAATATTTCCCTAGCAACTGAAGACAAAGATAAAGCAAACATCAACTCTCAAACACACTTAATTACATCAACTCTCAAACACTACCCTTAATTACGTTAACACAATTGACAGATATTTCAAGTCTGATGTAAGTATGCACTGGCAAATATTCCTCATTCAACCAATACTCATAAAAGGTACATTCCAGAAATTTCAATCGCTAATAAACACAAAGATATCCAAAAATCCTAGAATATATATTCATCTTCTAAACAAAGAATAATTAAAAAAAAATGTCTTAGAAGAAAACACAATAAATAAACTGTCTTAGAAGAAAACTCAAAAACCTAGAAAACCCTAATCCTAGTTAAAACAGAAAACTAGTAAAATATATATATTTTATCTTGAGGTTTGACAAAAAAAAAAAATATATATATATATATATATATTATTTTGATAATAATTCCATTTTTGTGCTACATCATATATATAATAAAATGTTATCTTATGAATATAAAATAATCGCTATATGAGAAAAATAACAAAAAAAAAAAAAAAAAAAAAAAAAATTCACAAAGTTCCTTTAAGGCTGTCGTCATTCTCTTAGGGTTTTGCGTCTGTGAAGATGCCAGAAATTGCCGAAAATTATGGTGGGAGAGTTGAAGAGATAGTTTGTGAAGACCGAATTAGTGTTTCACCCGAAGATTTGCTTGTGACAATTCTGTTATATGTCCCGACTAAAGAAGCAGTTGCCACAATGATTTTGTCTAAAAGATGGCTTTCTATATGGACCATGTTGCCTAGACTTGACTACAGAGATAACAATGATGATGAGATCAAGAAGAGCGTTTGTTGGTTTCTTGAAAAGTCATTGCAACTCCACAAAGCACCTGTCTTACCAATGTTGATAATAGAACTTGGTCCACAATGTCCTAGTGATGCTGATGTTGAAAAGTGTGTTGCAAAGGCTGTTGATCGCCGCGTGATTTTCCTAAGACTCGGGCTTCTCTGGTCCGCGGATCCAATCAGCTTGCCCAAGACCCTTTACTCTTGCGAATCTCTCAAGATACTGAGTCTCTCCGACAAGATTCTCGTGGATGTTCCCTCTACCGCTTGTCTCCCATCACTTAGATTGCTCGAACTAAACAGTGTGGTTTATAAAAATGAGAATTCTCTCGTTAGGTTCTTATCAAGCTGCCCTCTTCTCAAGTCTCTGTTAGTGAAACGAAACAAAGATGACAATGTGAAAAAGTTCATTGTGAAAGTTCCTTCTTTATTGGAATTAATGTATACTAATCTTTCTTCACACAATGATGTAGAAGATACCGGTAGGTGCGTGGTGATTGATACTCCGGCATTAACAGAATTTGACTTTACTGATCATTCAGGAGACTCTTGCTCGATCGATAATACACTTTGTTTAGAGCAAGTTCATATCGATGTTTATCTGCCTTCCCCTGATCTTGACAAGTTCTTAAGATCTTTTTCAGCAGTCTTGTTTCTTGAGTTGGGTTTGAATGACGAAATGGTAAGAATCTCTCTGTCTTCGTGAGCACATTGTCGGCTTGTCGCATCTACTTATGACCATAGCAGATTCTGTGTTGCAGAACCATCAAATTCTCTCGACTGACAATGTGTAAGATACTTCCGTGGGACTCAGACTGGATGGACTCACTTGTGCCTTTCCTTAAAAATATTCCGAAACTAAAGTGTCTTATAGTTGATTATGTACGTATCCGCCTCACTAAAAATTTTAACCCATGTTGAAAAATGTATTAATAGCATTTTGTTGTTTCTCAGGGATCAACCGATGAACCGCCTAATGCGTCTGCTTTCTGGAGCGAATCGGATAATAAAGATCCCGAATGCTTGTCATCAAGTCTGGAGAAGTTTGAGTTGATAGACTATACAGGAAGAAAAGAAGAGAAAGAATTGGTGGCATACATTCTAACTACCTCTAGATGTTTAAAGACGGCAACAATCTCCTTGAGACCATTGTCAGACTTAAAACTTGAAGAAAAAGCCAAAATGATAGAGGAGTTGAAAGCTATTCCTAGGGTTTCAAAAACATCTCAGCTTTTGTTCAAAACCTAGACAAAATTATGTAAACAACTGCTATTTATAAACTTATTATTTATGGAGATGCAACAATCAAATTAACAAGAAAGCTAGACAAGATTGAATATCTCGGGGTCGTTGTCTTATCATGCACACACATATCTCCCTTCTTTCTAATTCTAAACAGAAATTTTATTTGATTTTCATGACTTGAGATGTAAGGTAAGCATTCTATTTTTATAATATTCTGTTTTTTTATACTCTAGAGTCGGGTTATTTCCTAAGGGAAGCAAATGCAGAATTCTGCTAGGAAACAATGGTATTAGACGAATATTAGATGTATATTCGATATCTTCTGAATTGTATATTTTCCATTCTAGATAAGTTCATATCTCCTTAGAATCAGGAAAGTCTAGGTTGTATAAATACTAAATCTAAGGGTTTGTGAAATAACAAAGATCGTATATTCATCCTTCTAAAGTTTCTCATGGTATCAGAGCAAGAAACGATCTAATTTTTTTCCTTCGTTTTCTTTTGACCTAAATCAAGCTTGATCTCTTCTAAGCTTGATTCCTTTTATCATTATCAAAACTCTGTTCTCATTCACGAAAACAGAGGATTATTTTGGCATCCAGTCTCGATTTTATTCACAAAATCTTGACCTAATCTCTCTGTTTTTTTTTTTTTTTCTTCTAAACGAAAAACAGAAGCATCCTTCATCATCATCTTCATCGACTTCATTATCATCTCCGTTTTGCTCATCTGTGAACCATGGCTCTTGCAAACGTCCCCACAGAACCAAAACGCAAAACCATCTCTCCTTATGACCTCTCATCAAACGACAATCCTGGCGCTATAATCTCTCAACCACTGCTCACTAGTACAAACTATGACGAATGGGCCATCAATTTCCGTATGGCACTCAGCTCGCGCAAGAAGTTTGGCTTCCTTGACGGAAGCATTCCAAAACCAGCAGCTAATTCTCCTGACCTCGAAGATTGGATCGCCAACAATCATCTATTGGTGGGTTGGATTAAACAAACAATCGACCCCAAGATACGCTCATCTATATCTACTCGTGAAATTGCTAAAGAACTTTGGGACATCATTAAGAAACGATTTTCAATCAAGAGTGGAGCAAGACTACAACAATTACGCAATTCATTGGCAACTTGCAAACAGAACGGATCCAGCATCGATGATTATTTTGGAAGACTAACCAAAATTTGGGATGCTATCTCTGAGTGTATGAACTCCAAACGCTGCAACTGTGGTAAGTGTGAATGTGATTTAAATACTGCTCATGACAAGGAACGTGAGACACTGCGAATTCACGATTTCCTCTCTGGCCTCGATGACGCTACACATGGTGTTATCCGATCCCAAATTTGCGCCATCTCACCTCTTCCAGATCTTGATAGTGTTTATCAAACTGTTGTTCAGAACGAAACAATTCGTTCAAGTATATCTCAAGAAACTACGGTGATGAGCTTTGCTTCTCGCATACCATCATCAAACTCTATGTCTCGGCCCGATTCTATTCGAACACAAGACGTGTCCCGTCAATCCATTGGAGGAACATCACGTCCTCCGAATCGTGATCCCTCACGTAAATGTACTGGCTGTGGTAAGATGGGTCATGAAGTCAGCGGCTGTTTCAAGATAGTAGGATATCCCGATTGGTGGGAAGAACGCAAGAACTCTCGCAGTGACAATCGAAATTCCTCTTTCGGCCGTGGTCATGGCTCATCTCCTCAAGTTAATAGCACACAAGTCATTGGTGCTAACTCAGTTTGTCTCCCAGACATATCACCTATCTCCGACAAAGATCGTCAAGGTCTAAGTGGCATTACCGATGATCAATGGAGTATCATTAAACGAGTCGTCAATGAAAAGTCCAAATCGGATCAGTTAAGTGGTAAGAACAATTCGATATCTTGGATTCTAGATACTGGTGCCACCCACCACATGACTGGTCGGAGTGACATTCTTGAAGAAGTTCGTAACATTATTCCGGTTTGGGTCAAGTTACCAAACGGACGCGACTCTCTTACCTCCAAACAAGGCAGCATTCGTCTCTCACAGAGACTTACTTTACACAATGTTTACCTCGTTGATGGATTTGATACTAATCTTATTTCTGTGGGACAGCTGGTCACTGAAAATTTTTTGGTTGGGCAAATCATTGATAAGCTCTTGATTTTGCAGGACCGTACTTCGAGGACGCTGATTGGAGTTAGTGAGCGAGTGGGAGAGGGGCTGTATCAATTTCAAGAGATCGCAACCGTGACATCTTTGCAAACAAGTGTTTGTGATGAATCTGTTTTGTGGCATCGACGATTGGGTCATCTATCTTCTCGTGTTGTTGGCATGGTTCCTGGAATTCATGGTGTTAGTAGTAGTAGTGAGCTTTTGTTTCAGAATTGTGATGTTTGCCTTAGAGCTAAACAAACACGTCAAAGTTTTCCTATCAGTTTGAATAATGCAAAATCCATTTTCGATTTGATACACTGTGATCTATGGGGTCCGTACCGCACTACCGCTTTATGTGGCTCACGCTATTTTCTAACTATCGTTGATGACTACTCTCGAGCGGTTTGGGTCTATCTTCTTCCTGACAAAGCCAACGTTGCACGACATCTTACAGATTTTGTGGCTCTTGTTGAAAGACAATTCTCCAAGAAAATCAAAACAATTCGCAGCGATAACGGAACGGAGTTCATGTGCTTATCGAATTTTTTTCGCACCAAGGGAATTATTCATGAGACATCTTGCGTTTACACACCACAACAAAATGGACGGGTGGAACGTAAACATCGCCATATCCTCAATATTGCTCGTGCTCTCCGTTTTCAAGCTGCTCTTCCGATTGAATATTGGGCTGAATGCGTTCTCACAGCCGTCTATCTCCTTAACCGTACTCCTTCACAGATCTTGAAGGGTCACACACCATATGAGCGACTATATGGTCGTTCCCCATCCCTCAATCATCTTCGAATTTTTGGATGCTTAGCTTATGCTCATAACACGAATAACAAAGGTGATAAATTCGCTTCTCGGAGTAGGAGATGCATTTTTCTTGGATATCCTTCTGGAAAGAAAGGATGGAAACTATACGACCTTGATGAAGAAGTCACATTCATATCACGTGATGTTGTGTTCTGTGAAGAAACGTTTCCTTTTACCATCAAAGATAATCTTCCCTCTTGCATTGAATCTCCTATCTCCACCGCAACCACGAGCTCCACTGATGATATAGACATCGTTTCACCTTCTGTACCAGTCCCTAATACACCACCAGAAATGTTACAACCGGTGTCTATGACAGAACCAACTCCAACACCAGACGAGTCACAGACTCCCGCTGTGGTTGCACCGGCTCTAGCTCGCGAAACAGCACACGAAGAAACCGTTAAGGACTCTGTTTCTCCATCATCTTCTCCGATTACACAACCAACACGGGCCGTGGTTGATACTAATGACACATCCACTGTTGACCTTGATATTCCACATGATTCACTTGGCAAGGGAAAACGTCAAAAGTTTCCTTCTGTTAAGCTTCGTGACTACGTTTTTCAAACATCATCTCTCTCCACGCCCCCTCTCCCCGCTACTAACACGTCCTCTGATCAGTCGTCCTCAGGTACACCTTATCCCATCTCTAATTATGTTTCATGTGACAGATTTTCCTCTACTCACCGTGGCTATTTAATCACGTTAACTATTAATATTGAGCCAACAAGTTTTATGGAAGCTATGAAACATTTTGTATGGAAGAAAGCTATGGGTTCTGAAGTTACTGCACTTGAACTTAACAAGACATGGGACTTAGTTGATCTTCCTCCTAATAAGAAAGCATTAGGTTGCAAATGGGTCTACCGTATCAAGCTTAACTCTGATGGGACTATCGAACGCTATAAAGCTCGTCTCGTCGTGCTAGGTAATCATCAAAAGGAGGGTTTGGATTATAAAGAAACGTTTGCTCCGGTAGCCAAGATGTCCACTGTCCGGTTATTTCTTGATATTGCTGCCAAACAGAATTACGAAGTGCATCAAATGGATGTTCACAACGCTTTTCTTCACGGTGATCTTCATGAAGAAGTTTACATGAAACTACCACCGGGATTATCTACTCCAGGAGATACACGAGTTTGTAAATTGAAGAAATCTTTATATGGTCTCAAACAAGCACCTCGGTGTTGGTTCGCTAAACTGGCCGATGCGCTTGAAAGTATGGATTTAAACAAACTCGGTCAGACTATTCTCTCTTCATTTACATGAAAAACGGCATCAATCTTCGAATTTTGGTTTATGTCGATGATCTCATTATTTCCGGCAACTCTCCCACGGCCATCCAATCCTTTAAAGATTATCTTAGTACTTGCTTTCACATGAAGGACCTCGGTTTTCTTAAGTATTTTCTCGGAATTGAAGTGGCTCGCAGTCCGCTTGGTTTTTATCTCTGCCAACGAAAATATGCAACCGAAATTGTCACAGAAGCTGGTCTCCTTGGATGCAAACCGGCCGGTTCACCAATTGACCAGAAACACAGCTTGGCTCGTGCTAATGGTCCTTTTCTTGAAGATCCAGAAACCTATCGTCGCTTAATAGGTCGTCTTGTGTATCTTGGCAATACTCGGCCTGATCTCACCTACTCCATACACATTCTCTCTCAGTTCATGCGGGAACCGCGTGCAGACCATTGGCTCGTAGCCCTCAAAGTGGTTCGTTATTTGAAAGGGACTCTTGGTCAAGGAATCCTTTTAAAAGCTGACTCTCCTATGCATTTCACTGGTTGGTGCGACAGTGATCATGCAGCTTGTCCATTAACGCGACGATCTCTTTCAGGCCGGATTGTTCAATTCGGCGACTCTCTCATCTCGTGGAAGACCCAGAAACAGGACGTTGTTTCAAACTCCTCCGCCGAGGCTGTTGGGGTAGGATTCCATCCTTTAGCGCCGAGCCAGATTTAGAACACTTTGGGAGTCTTTCAGTGATCACCTCGGGGCATCGCATCATTCACCTCGGGATATCCATCTAATCGATTTAGTAT